ATGGGGTCAAAAACTAAGGCTCGACAACCCCACTTTTCTTTCTATCACTGCAGCTTCTCCCAGGTCAGAGGCTGTTATTATCCCCTAAATCCCAGTCCCCATCCCTTCAATTTTTTAAGAGCTACTGTGTATGTTTCCAGCACCTTTACAACCAGATGTGACCACGTGGCTTAGCTCTGCTAGGTAGATACAAACATAATGTTTTCCACCTCCAGGGGTGCTCTTAAAAGAAATGGGAATTGGGACCAGCAGTTGGCATAATGGCTATGTCGCTGAACTCCCACGTAGTCGATGGCGGTTCGCGTCCCAGACGGGGTGGCTTAAAACTCATGCCCGGCACATGTGCGCGCATGCCCAGGATCCCTAGAAGAGAATGGAGGATAAGGGATTGCGGTGTGGCCATCCCCCCTGGGGGATGATTTCTCGCTTTCTGTCTCTCTGTCTCTCTCTGTCTGTCTGGTGAGCGCACGTGCCCTACAGCGAAAACCTCTCCAAAAAAAAAAAAAAGAAAGAAAAGAAATGAAAAATAACTTTCTTTATTCTGTATATATTCCCATTGCAAGATCGGATACAAGGATGAAAGCCATATTTTGAGGATGACAAGGCTCTTTACAAGGATTGTCTATCTACTTCTATTTTCTGTCAGAGAACAATTTGCTTCTAAATTGCTTAAGCCAGTGTATTTTTATATTTCTCGTATAGCAGCATAGACTATACCCTAGCCTCATAGGGTACTGCTTAGATTGTACCTTAGCATCTTACCTTCATTGACACCTTACAGATTTGGGCTTGGTTTTTTAAAAAGGAATTTAGTAGTTGAGCCTCCTTACATGGGATGATTACAATTGCTATCTGTACATCTGATTTACAAAGCTGCTATGAGAGCAGGGTACTCACTATACTATGTACATACAGATATTTAAATTTGTGTGTTGCAGTTTTTATTAGGGAAGTTTTCTATCACTTGATTCTTGATTTCCCCCAGATCTATACAAATGGCTTTCTGTTAGTCCATGAATACAATAAATCATATCCATTCATTCATAAATTCAGATTAGGTGATCAGAATGCATGCAGTATTGGACTAAAAATCTGGGAGATAAAGGAGGAAAAAATAAGTATATATAATCATTTTCTTTACACTTTCCAAAGAGTACATGTTAAAGAGATGTATGGTTAAGAGGAGTGTCTGGAGACGGGGTCCCTGTATTCATATCCTGGGTCTGGTATTTACTAGCTATAGGTATTCAAAATTATTTAACCTCACTGTGATTCATGCATCTTTTAAATGAGAGTAATTATTATTTGTTTTTAGAGAGAGATTTTTGCTATAGTGCATGTGTACTCACCAGAGAGACAGAGAGACAGAACATGAGAAATCACCCCCCCTGGAGGATTGCCACACTAAAATCCCTTCTCCTCCATTCTCCTCTAGGGATTTTTGGCACACATGCACACAAGCCTGGCATGAGTTTTGTTTAAGTTGCTGGGTCCAGGGCTTGAACTGCAGTCTATTTTGTGGGAGTCCAGTGATGTAACCACTACACTATCTGCTGGTCCCTTAAATGAGGATAATTATTAGTGATCTCATTGGCCAATTGTGATAATTAAGCAAGTTACCAAAATGAAGCACTTAGAATAGTGCCAGGCACATAATAAAGCATCAAAGGGAACCAGCAGTTAGCGTAATGGCTATGTCGCTGGACTCCCACGTAGTCGACCACGGTTCGTGTCCCAGACCTGGTGGCTTAAAACTCACGCCGGGCGCGTGTGCGTGCGTGCCCAAGATCCCGAGAGGAGAATGGAGGAGAAGGGATTGCGGCGTGACCATCCCCCCTGGGGGGTGATTTCTCGCTTTCTGTCTCTATGTCTCTCTCTGTCTGTCTGGCGAGCGCACGCGCCCTACAGTGAAAAATCTCTCCAAAAAAAAAAAAAAAAGCATCAAATAAATGTTGAATATTATCACTATTCACTTAGAGAGATGAGACATATATACATTCTGTTATGGTCTATGTAATGTTTTGTCCCTCAAAGGTTCATGTTTTGGAATTCAGTCTTAATGGACTCTGATTGTATGTTCCCCAAAAGTTTATATGTTGGGGCTTGATTGTCTTGTACATGTGTTAAGTGAAAATGCAATATCTTCCTGGTGTCCCTGGAGGGGCCTTTGAGTGTGATAAGGTCTTTAGAATTGGACCTCATAATTGAGTTCCAGAACCTATTCAAAGAAGTGAAATGTGACAGGCAGACACATGGATAAAGACCATGCTCCACTCTGCCCATAATTCTGCCTTCCATCATACTGTGATGTCTTTGGACTTTCCAAATATATCTGTTTAACAATGCAATGACGGACTAAGACACGTTCTTAGTAGTGTTTGAAAAGTTGGCAACCTCTGACTTGTTACCGTCAAATGGTGTCTTCAGTAAATTTCTAGATATGGACAATGGGAAGAAAGATTCTTACCCTATTTTCACCATAACTAAACCCAAGCATCAATTGAAAGTCTAGACCATCAATAAATATGTCCGTTTTTCAGTTGTGTGCCATTTCACGTGTTATCTTATTCTGTTCATTCGCTCAGTCGTGTGGGGCTTTTCCTCCTGAATTACTTAAATTACTCTGTTTAGTGTGAAATTATGATTGTCTACTGAGACAGTCACAGAAAAATCTACCAATATCTACAAATTTACTTCAAATCAAAGGGTATGTTATTAGCTTCTTCCTCAAGTTTTTCCTCTCATGTTAAAAGCTTTATGCTTTAAGAAATCACATTTTTATCTGAAATTGAGTATATTTTATATTTATTCCAATCTAAAAACTTCCAGTTCTAAAACTAAATTGTATCGGGGCTGCGAGGTGGCATGTTGGTTAAGGTACTGACTTCCCACATGGCCAACTATGGTTCGAGTCCTGGACCTGGTAACTTGCTCTCTCATCTTCCCTGTCTTTCTTTCTCTCTATCTCTGTCTGGTCAAATTAAAAAATTATAATAACAAATGGAATTGAATCAATAAATAATTCTAAAAAAAATACTAAATTGTTTATCACCCACCACTGTGATATAAATTAAGTACCCTGTATCTTTTTTTTTTTTTTTTTTGGAGAGATTTTCACTGTAGGGCACGTGCGCTCGCCAGACAGACAGAGAGAGACATAGAGACAGAAAGCGAGAAATCACCCTCCAGGGGGGATGGTCACGCCGCAATCCCTTCTCCTCCATTCTCCTCTTGGGATCTTGGGCACGCACGCACATATGCCCAGGGTGAGTTTTAAGCCACCGGGTCCAGGACGCTAACCGCAGTCGACTACGTGGGAGTCCGGCGACATAGCCATTATGCTAACTGCTGGTTCCCGAGTACCCTGTATCTTTACCTTGTTTTCTTTCTTTTCCATTCCAATATGTGAAAACAAAGCCATTTGAAAGCTGAATTGCTTTCCTAGTAGAGCACATATGGCTTTAATTCAGATTTTGCATTAAGTCTTTTTTTCTCCCTTTGTCTTTAATATCCTGAAATTCTGGATTATCTGTTGACAAAGGTTTGTACCACCTGATGTAAAATATGCTCTTATTTAAATTTAATTGGTATATAGGCTTCCCACCTATAATACAGATGACAATTTTTGCCCTTGGTTTCAGAACTGCCAGTTCTCAACTGAGCTTTAGTTTGTCTAGTTTTATTACTGATTGCCAAATATATAGACCTAGCCTCTTTTGTAAGTCTCACAACATTTGCTAAATTATCAATTAAGATATTTTTGACTGAAAGGGATAAAATATACAACTTAAAATACCTCCATAATCAGTTGTGTATTATTAATTTATGGAAAAATATTGAGGTAGACAGTTCCACAGTTGATTCAGTGGCTCCAAGATATCACCCAATTTCCACGTCCTTCTGATTTTTCTGCTGTCCCAGCCTCAAGAAGTTGATGATGGTGGCCAGCAAGTGGTATAGTGGTTAAAGCACTGGACTCCCACATTACCAACCATGGTTGATGTCCTGAACCTAGTGGCTTGAAACACACCAAGTGAGTGTAAATGAGTGCCCAAAATCCCAGGAGGAAAAGGGACTGCAGCATGGTCATCCTTTCTGGAGGGTGACCTCTCTCTCTCTCCCTCTCTCTCTTTGTCTCTCCAGCAAAAGCACACACCCTATAGCAAAAATATCTCTCTCTAAAGAAAATGGAGGGGATGATGTCTCCTCGTGTTTGCCCAATGAATGCAGGAGATTCCAGTATTACGTCTGCAAACAAATTGTGTAAAATCAGTAAAAATGTACAGGAACTTCCATTTTGTATACCTTAATCCTTTTACTAAGAAAGATGATTTTTTTCCAAAAGCCTTTAGCATAAGTCCCATTTGTCATTGGTCGGTTCTGGTTCACACGATTCTCCTTAGCTGGAGGAAAAGAAATATCTGATGTCAGTCAATGGAACAAAACAGGAGAGAATGGCTATTGGGCGTGTAACAATCAGTGCTAGCCACGGTAAGGAAACAACTGTTTCAAAGATGCTCCTAAGGCTTCAAAATAGGAACCCTTTTTCAATTTCTGTCTCAAGACCTTAGCTACATGAATCAGAGAAGATATTTTTTTCCTAAACTAACAACATTTTAAACTTAAAAACATATAATTTCCTTACAATATTCTATGTAACTAATTAGTGAACTTTTTTAAAGTAACCCAAAGCATGATTTTTGATAACACTTCATTATAACTTCCGTAAGGGTAAAGAGGATGACTGACAGGAAGATATTAAGGACAAGACTATGTTACTCATTTTTCGCATGTGCCATTATTTCCTTAGTACTTAAAGTTCTACTAAAAATACAATGACTTAAGGCTAGCAGATGGCTTGGTGGTTAAGGCACTGGACTCCTACATGGCCCACTGCAGCTCAAGTGTCAGACATGGTGGCTTGCTGTCTTGCTTTCTCTCTTTCTTTTCTCTCTTTGTCTCTCTCTGGTGAGTGCATGAGTCCTATAATAAATTTAAAAAGTAATAATAATAAACAAATAAAATTAAATAAAAAATTATTTTAATAAATAAAATTAAATGGTTCAAGGTAATTTCTAAAATCCCATGACTTGCATTTAAAAAATTAATTCATATATCACCAATTCCATTCCATTCAAATCCAAAATCACATGGCTTCAATTCAGATTTTGCATTAAGTCTTTTCTTTCCCCTAGGTCTTTAATAGCCAGAAGTTCTGGGTAGAATTTTGGTGTCACATAAGTACAAGGGTTATTTTTCCTGCTACAGTCTAGGTTGAAGCAAATATTATATAGTATTTTCAGACAGTGGTATAGTAAATGCAAGAAGAAACAGCTAGTTAATCAAGAAAACACATTAGTCAGTACAGCTGTAAATGCCAACCTAGGTCAGTGGTTAATTATAAAAATTCTGTTCCATGTTACATTTACTTGCAGATGTACTTACTTGGTGGTTAACAAGAGATATAAAACAAAGGGGAAAGTGACACATAAAAAAGAATTATAAAAGAATCTCTTGCATATAAAGTGTTATGTCTATCATCTGAAACTTAATACTCTGCAGTAAAGCCTTTGACAAACTCAGGTATTACCGGGTTACAGGATAAGGGTAATATTTAGAGAGAGAGACTGAGGGGAGCACAGCCTTCTCAAACGCAGTCATCCGAATTGGAGTGATTGTTCTTGAGAAGGTATGTCCATAAGAAAAGAGCACCCCGAAATTTTCATCCCAACAGCAGCTGGCAAGCAGCAGAGCTTGAATTCCTGGTAGACCACAAAAAGCTACTGATCCTTGTGGAAAATGCCGAGAAGAATTTTAATTCATCTCATAGAGCTTATATTTTAAGCACTTTTTTTCTTCTTCTGAGCAGCAGGAACAGATGAACTCTCAAGAAATAAAGATCTCATTTTCATGAAAATCATTTCCCAAGAACAAGGGAGGAAAAAAAAATAAAGAAAATGTATGAGGTAGACTTGGGATTGCTGTAAAAGACAACAGGTGTCAGAGTTTTCTATGAGGAGTGAACTATTCCTCGAGGTATAGTTTAATGACTTTCTAACAGTTGATATAGTTTATCGTCCCTTTAGAATAAAAGGAATCCCAGTAACCAGGTGCAGTATAATTAGCTTTGAAAAACAAAGTTTAACTACACAACTACCATAAACACAAGACTACACCATAACTTAACATATTGTGGATTTTTTTTTTTTTAACTTTCCAGAGGGCATGTGCACTGGCTTGAGAAAAAGACAAGGAGAGACTAGAAAGAGGGAGAGGGAGAGAGTTTTTTTAAAAGCACCCTCCATAAAAATGGTCATGCCACAATTCCTTTTCCTCCATTTCTCCCTTCTATGGGGATCTATGGCATACATGTATACATGCCTGGTGTGTTACTCAAGTCCCCAAGTCAGGGACTCAAACCACATGGTCAGCCATGTGGGATCCAGTCACCCCAACCATCATGCCACACGAGTTGGCCCAGGTTAACAAATCATTACAGCATACAGAACATCGGTTAAGGACAAAGGTCTAACTAGTATGGGGGTCATAGTAACTAAGCTGCTTTCTAAACACTGACATGTCAAACCCGAATTTCTAATCAAATAGTACACACTTAACAAAACTCCAAAGAGTGTCAGTCTAGGGCAGATCAGAAGCATCATGGAGCTCTTCAAAATGTATCTATAGGGCCCTCGTGCTCAAAATTATTGATTTGTAAGGTCTGAGAGCAACCCAGGAAGCTATACAGATTTTTATGTGATCTGGATGACTTGATGGATGCCAAAGAGTGAAAATCACAGAAATATCCACTGACCTAACATGGACGTCTCAGAGTATTTATGTACCAATCCCAAATTTAGGATGGATATGAGACACTCATGACTTCTTTCAACTCAGCTGCTTATATCTCTGTCTCTCCCAACCTCTATCTCTATTAACTTATGAATTCTACAAAGACAGAAATTGTGTCATTGCTCATCTTTGTACTCCCGGAAACAAATTCAACTACTGTTACATGGTAAACATTATACAAGTGCATATCAAATGAATAAAGACTGAATCCTACATGCATTGAATTCCCATACGGCCAACTTACTGTTTTCAAGGAAAGGAGATGTAAATTTGGGGTACCAAATATTCCATGTCTATATTTTATTGACAACGCTAGAAGGCAAGATGAAGACAAGACTAAAACGGCAGTGTTTTGACCTTTCGTAATCACACATTTGGGGGCAGTTTAATGAAGGTTTACTATAGAGAACATTTCTAGGCAAAGGAGCCCTTGATAAAACTGTCTAGAAGAGTATGTTCACTATATTCAGGGGTACTCTGTAAGTGTGAGGCATTTGCGGCTTTGAAAGGTAGACACGCTCGACTGCGTCTTATGATAGCAAGAAGCACCACCTTTGCCTTGTATGACCAGGAAGGTACATGGGCAGAGCTGTGGAGGCTACCTAAGCCTCTGGGTCTATTTCTTCCCACACCCTCTCTAGCTATGCACTGTTTACAGACGTTTTAGATTCCTCAACAGAGATTGTCAGAATATATACAAGTTTGAACATCTGCATGCAGGTCAGCAAATTAGACCTCTATCTCAGTTATATTTATCTCCTTGAAAATCTAGTAAATGCTTACTAAAGGTAGGGAAAAATGAACATACAAGAAAAACCTGCCATTCAAATCCAGGAAGTTCTCAGACATCTGAAGCCTTCTACAAATCTTCTAAGGAGCCTTAAAACCTAGGCTGAAACCATATAGATCAGTAATGGAGTAAAATCTCAGAGCCTGCTTATACTAAAGACTTCGCTGAACCCCACATAACTGACTCCCCAGTTCAAATCCCTGACCCAGAAACTTGAAAAACACACCAGGCACATGTACATGCATGCCCAAAACCCAGAGAGGAGAATGGAGGAGAAGGGATTGTGGTGTGGTCATCATCTCCTGGAGTATGATTTCTCACTTTCCCTCTTCCTCTTTGTCTCTCTCTTCGCTGAACACAGATGTGTTAAAGGCTTGTACACAGATTGTTCACATCCTCTATCCCATCACAAAATGTTTGGTTAATTTCCATCATTAAAGTTTTAAACTCTTTCCTCATACATTCCTTCCTTCTGACGTGACTTAAAACAAGAAGTGTGCCAGCAAGTGCCATGATGGTTAGTGCGCTGAATCCCACATAACTGACTCCTCAGTTCAAATCCCTGACCCAGAAACTTGAAAAACACACCAGGCACATGTACATGCATGCCCAAAATCCAGAGAGGAGAATGGAGGAGAAGGGATTGTGGTGTGGTCATCATCTCCTGGAGTATGATTTCTCACTTTCCCTCTTCCTCTTTGTCTCTCTCTAGGGAGTGCATCTGCCCTACAGTAAAAATTAAAAATAATAATAATAACAAGAAGACAAGGAAAAGTTTGGCAACCCATTCACCATATTGCCATATATTGGTATATGCATTAAAATTTACTAACACATCCAACTTGATCAGAAGACTCAATTGTAGATTGGTTAAATTAAACCGGGCAACCACTCTTAGCTGAATTACATGTAAACATGAAAGATTTCCCAGCATTTATAAATGGCTCTGCATCATTGATTGCATAAAAAGTTTGAGGGAAAAGAGAATCCTCCAAGATTGATTTTTTTTTTTCCCTCTGCGGAATTCATATTTTTTCTGTGATAGAGCCTGTGCACGGGCATTAGAGAGAGAGAGAGAAGCACCTTCTGAAGGGTTCAGTGACACCACAATTTTTTTCCTCCAGTCCTCTGGAGCACCAGGATTCTGGGCAAAGGCACATGTTAAGGTGCCCAACGTGTTTCCAGACTGATGGGACCAGATTTTTTTTTTTTTTGGACCAGATTTTTGAACATCGGTAGGCATGTGGTTTCTAGCCTCTCAGAGTCACATGCTACTAATTATACCACACAGTGCGGGCCTACAGTTTCATTGTCAGTATGTATGCATACATTATTTAAAGTAACTTAGTCTTTAAGATGAGCAACCCAGCTATAAAATAGTAACTAGGTGGCCCTCGACTTCCTAATGTTCTCATCTACTTCAGCTAAACATAGCAGCCCTGCACTTCCTGGAGCTGAGCATCAAGGAGAGTCACATGGCAGCCGCACTTCCAGTGTGGCAACGATAAAGCCCTGAAGAGACAGACACCTCCATGTAAGCTCAGTGTGAGTCCAGTAAATTCATCCACTTTATGAGGTTTGTTCCTGCAGTGACTAAAAAAATAAATAAATAAATAAATATTCACTTTTTTAGGAGGATAATAACCTTTTTCAAGTTCTCAGGGCAATATTTATTGCACTAGAATAGTCATTTTGCAGAATGACACTTTAACGGCCCCAAAAGTTCCACACATGGGAAAAAACCTTTCATATGGTGTCTAC